TCGTGACTCACTGCAGATTGGGCGCCGTGAATGTTGAAGTTTGTACTGTAATCTTTTCTTGTAGTAGTAGCAGCACCAAATTTGACCCGGAATGTATTGTTATGCTCAATGTATATTGTTGTGCTCAGAATGAACGAGTGATTGGCTCCTCGATCTGATCTCGGCATGTCACCATGGAGCCCAACACTCTCACTGCCCCTGGCGCTCTTTTTATTTCTTGCAGCTGGCAGCCTGGCACTAAATGGAGCCGGGAATCAATTGGGCAGATCAATAAAAAATTAAAAATGGTCCCGTATCCAACGTGGTAGACGGCTGTTTGGAACATTTACCGTGGACTGAAGTCCAGCCAAGTCTTCAACGGTTTACAGACAGTATTCAGACAACAGAATCTGAGTTTACAGCTCCTGTACATGTAGCGTGCCGACGTGCAATGCAAGTCCAGAAGATGCCTTACGTGTTAGCGAGCATAGTGCCTTTGTGGATCGTTGATTTTGGTGGCACTATTGCATTGCAGGACAACTTCTATGTCGATTGCCACAAGCTTCCCATGCTTTTTTGCAAGACGTTCTTTCTAACAGAGCTCGGCACATCATTGGATCTAAGATAAACAGACTGGTAGTATACTCTGAGTTCTTTATGATGTGCTTTAACTGTAGTATAGCTGAAGCAGATCACGGTTGGCTAGGCTCTGTCTCCAGATCTCTGCTGACGAGGAGGCAACGAGGAATGTGGCGAGGAGGTTGATTCCTTAATTGAAGGAATTGGCAACGGTCAAAAACGGTATTTAGACGTTTATAAGCATTTATTAATTCCTGCTAAACAGTAAACACCTGTGTTTTTTTACGCCGGTTCTCAGCTTTGTTCTTGGAGAACTGGCTGTCGTACCAGAGTTGGGGCCTGGCCGAACCGCGCGTAAACAATTCATCATTGGGCTTTTATTACTGGAAAAGGTTCATTTTACATCTGAACTATCCTCAAAGTTTAGTTGTTCTCTCTGAACTCAAAAACTGGGTAAATCATCTCTCTCAACTTTTGAAACCGTTCATTTTACCTCCATGGCCCCATTATATGTGGTTTTCAAAGGCGGTTTTGTCTTTTTCTTTTTTTATTTATTTTGGCTAAATATTTGAAAAATTATAGTAAATCGTAGAAAACTCATAAAATGGAAATTCTAATTTTGTTGGACTCCACATGAGTAGATCTACACAAGACACATATAATATGGTATGCTTTAGTACAAATTTTTTTGTTGTAGCTTTAGATCTATGTTTTCTGTAATTAATTCATAGCTGCAGTTTCTATGGTTCAATTATGGTGAAATTTTTATGATGGTCTAATTATGGTATGCTTTAACTATAGTAAAAATACTCGTTTATATTCTTACACACTTTTAACTATTTTAAAACTATTTAACAAGCATAAAAATAAAAAAATCAATAACTCAGTTATACCTGGTCCAATGAGCATGAAATTTTTACTACAGTTCAATCATATAAAATTTAATCCACCATAAAAATTTCACCACAATTGGACCACAAAAACTCAAGCTTTGAATTAATTACTAAAAATCATAGATATAAAGTTACAGCAAAAATTTTGTACTAAAGAATACCATATTATATATTCACTATGTATATCTAATCATGTGGAGTCAAAGAAAATTGGACTTTCCATTTGATGATTTTTCTGTGATTTACTATGATTTTTTTAAAAAATTAGCCGAAATAAATAAAAAAGAAAAAGACAAAACCGCCTTTGAAAACCACCTATAACCGGGCTAGGGAGGTAAAATGAGCGGTTTTAAAAGTTGAGGGAGGTGATTTATCTGGTTTTGGAGTTCAGGGAGGAAAACTAGACTTTGAGGATAGTTGAGGGAGGTAAAATAGATTTTTTCCCCTTTATTAGTCGCTAATAAGGTATAGGACATTAATATGGGCCGAAAAAGCTCTGCATCGTGCTACTTTTGGGCCTCTTTAAATAGACTACTGCACGGCATACGGAACATCATCAACTCTGGGCACTAACCTGATGGGCCTCCTAGTTGGCTCTACTTTCCGATCATTTTCGTGGTCGAATGAATACTTGATGGAATGAAACGAAGAGCAGCAAAAGGGCTTGTCAGCAAATGGGCACGTGGTCTAGTGGTAGGACAGTCCAGAGGGACGTTACCCACCAGGGTCAAAGTATATTAAATTTGACCAAATTTATATAATAAAATAATAATATTTATGATTCTAAACTAAGTATCATTAGATTCTTCATCAATTATATTTTCATAGTATACCTATTTGATGTAAAAAATCTTTATAGTTCTTTCTATAATTTTGGTCAAACTTAAGATGATTTGACTCTCTAAAATTTTTAGAATGATTTATAATTTGGAATGAAAGGAATACTATGCAAGAGTCTCTCGCAGTCCCTACCTTAGTCACCTGGTACAAGGGCATAGTAGCTCTGTGGATCGCTCTACCTTTCCGGGCCGGCAATGATCTCTCTCCCACTCCAGTCCCGCGCACGATCCATGGACCATGGTAAAGCTCCTCTGCCGCTGCCCAAACAAGCACCAGCTTGCCATCAGTGGACCACTACTGATTTTGCTAGTGGTGAGCGCGCACCACCACCATTTGATGAGCACACCACCACCATCATGTTGCATTTCAATCCTATGTGAATGTTGTTGTCATGTTACATGTGGGAAAAAAATGAAATAGTCCATGCAAAAAGAATGTTGTTGTGCCAAAAAAAAAAGAACTAATAAAGCAAAAAAAAAACTAAAAGAAAAAAGTTTGTACCAAAGCAGCCTGTTCGGTTGGCTGGTTCGTTTCGTTACTGGTTCGTAAAGAAGTACTGCTGACTGCTTTGTGTGAGAGAAAAATATTGTTCCAGCTAAAAATTTACGATCGTTTACGACAAGCCACAGCCAAACGAACGTGCTGAAGAAAAACTGGCGCATAACATACCAGCAACGATGGAAACCAAAGAGAGGCAAAAAATGTCTTTTTGTCTCAGAGTTAACAACGTTAATTGTCTGGACTAATGGAAATGTCTTTTTGCCTTAGAGTTAATATCGTTGTCCGGACTAACGGAAGTGCTAGATAGGGAAGAAAAAATTCACTTATGTACTGATAGGGAAGTTTTGAACTTTTTGTGCTAAATAAGGAAGAGCAAGTTTTTTTTTATGCTAGATAGGGAAATTTCTCTTGAAAATTTTGTCCACCATTTACTTACTATAATTACAATTCCAGTTATATTATTTATTATGGAAAAAAAATTCGGATTGGAGGTCCATATGTTGGTGAGAAATTCATCATAAGAAGTTAGAATCTCTATCCGGCACGAGGTACCTACTGTCCCTACGGATTATTCCAAGTTGCATGCGAATGTGTGCATGTTTTTGGCAGAAGTCCGATACGTCCGTCGTACATCCGTGTGCCAGCCTAGCTAGCACGTAGTTTATATTATGGGAAAAATACTGTATATTTTTGGTTGAGAATCCGGTTGCCGAATTTGGATATATTATTACGTAGTACAATAGTTTTGATTGGTCATATCTCGATCTGATTATGTCATATCTCGTTGATTCGGAGCCCCAGCTAGCTCCACGAGATATACATACTTTTATTTTACTAGATGGGTGGTCGTGCGTTACGACGGATACAACATAAATTAAATGAGATATTTGTTAACCAAATTAAAATCAAGAATATATCAATTCAATTTTTCACGTGTATTATACCATAATAATGTCTACAAACACATTCATTGACCACGTTCGCGTGCCCTTAAATCATGTTTGATCCGCTTATTTTTTCATCCGGAATAGTGTTTTTCTCTCACAAATTCCTCCAGCATTCCTCCAAACCATCCAGATTCCTCTAAAATTCAGACAAGCGAACAGGCCCATTATCGTAATGAATCTGAAATAGAAGTTAGGCTTGGATATCGTTGTCCGAAAGTTACGACAAACATCAGTTATCTCAAAGGCTGAAAATTTATTGCTAGGCGTCGAATTGAATTTATCCATGCTCTGTCTTGCCAAAACATATATACTCGGACTTACAATATCCTAGCCCGCATGAGGTATGGCAATAATTCATTTTTTGGGAAAAAAAGTATTTGTTGTCAACACGCGAAGGACGACGAACGAGATTTGGATCACGATTATGATCATTGCGTGGTGATATTCTATTTTTTTACTTGCCTTCCAGTGTCTCCATGCGGTGATTATTTGTCTGCCGGTGATTCCGTGAGTTTTATTCTATTTTATTTACTTGCCTTCCAGTGTCTTCATGCGGTGATTATTTGCCTGCTGGATATGGATCGCATGAGATGCGGTGATTATTTATCTACCGGATATGGATTGCATGAGTGTTTTGGTTCTGCCGGCTAGATGTTGACAATCCGTATGTTTTAGTTGTAGAGATAGAGATAGAGATAGAGATAGAGATAGAGATATCTATTATTATATTACCACCTAAAAAGGGAGAGAGGGTTTCGTCCACATGATTTTGGTGTGCGCGGTCCTTGGATCGAAGTCCGATCGGTCTCGGACATGATTTTGGTGTGCACGCTCCTTGGATCGAAGTTCGATTGGTCTCGACTCCTCTACGTTAAAAAACCGCCCTCTAGCGCCCAGTCCGGCAACAGCAGGGAGTTACGGGAGAAAATTACGAGATGGCGGCGATGCCGCAACCGGTTTTCCAGGAGGTTGCTCTGCCCGCAATCATGGAGATTTAATTTGATCTTCCTTCCTTTCAACCGAAATAATCGACAGTATGCACTTTTCCTAAACCCAAACGCAACGCAGCGGTCACAAGTCGTCCAAAGCCTGTCTGCCGCACTGCTGTAGACCCTAAAGGTCTCGCTGGGCTCCTCCTCCACTTCCTCCTCGCCGCGGCAATGAGAGGCAGCAGCAACGGAGAAGACACAGAGGAAGAGGTAGCAGCAGGCCAGGAAGTCGCCAGTGTTTGCTCATCGAGATCAACTCAGCGTTCGCAACCATGGCCGTGGACCCGCCTTCCCGTGCGGCGTTCGTCGCCGGGGCCGTCGCGCTTGCCCACGATAGCGGCTTCCATGGGCTCGACATCGCGTGCCAGTTCCCAGCATGCGCCGTGGACATAGCCAACTTCGCCTTCCTCATCTCTGAGTGGGCCGCCACACCGCGCTGCCGAGTTCCTGCTCAGCGCTATGCCGCTATGCACGCACGGTTTACATATCTACCATCCTAAGCACGTCTTCTACGCGCCAACGCCACTGCCCGACACAGATTCGTTACATGGCAGCGCTTACCCAGCGCAGCGCAAAGGAGACAGCCGGCAACTACTCTACTTTTCCTGGCGCCGAGAGGACGGGACGACGTCTACTACGTCGGCAACAGCAACAGCTACTTCAGCGAGGGCATCACCTCGGCCTAGTCGCCGACCTCGCTGGCACGCCGTCCGCAGAGGCTCTCCAACTCAACGTCACCTCCGACGCCAACGTCGACGCCGCCGTCCGCGACGTGCTGGCGCGGCATGGCCGCGACGACGTGCTTATCAACAACGCCGGTGTCAGGTGCATGGCCGCGACGACGTGCTTCTCAATAAATATATATGCAATGAGTTAGAGCATCTAGTGGCACTTTAATAACCGTATTTCGATACGAGTTTTATTCCTCTTAATAGTACGACTATCGAATCAAAATGTGATCACACTCTCTAAGTATCTTGATCATCAAAACAAAATAGCTCCTACAAAATATATCTTCGCCTTAATCTTTTTGTTTTTCTCTTTCTTCTTTCCAAGTCGAAGCACCTGATCATCACCATGCCATTATTATCATCATGCTATGATCTTCATTTACTTCGCCACTTAGAGTGTGCTACCTATCTCATGATCACTTGATAAACTAGGTTAGCACTTAGGGTTTCATCAATTTACCAAAACCAAACTAGAGCTTTTAATCTCCCCTTTTTGGTAATTGATGACAACCCCTATACAAAGATATGAATTAAAATTCAATTGAATCCATGTTGCTTGTCAAGCATATTTACCATGTGTAAAAGGATATGGACAAGTTTCATGAACTTCATATGGTAGCAATTGCTCCCCCTATATATGTGCTAAGAGTTTGGATTGTAGCTTGCACATATGATTAGATAGGAAATATAGAAGACAATGTCTACCAAATGATGCTTAGGTATAAAAGATGGACCTTTGAAGCGTGATACCAATCGGAGTGCACCATTATACCATCCTTAGCACCATGGTTAGCTAGATACCACTTGACGAATACTTCGGAATGATAGCTAGATACCACTTATAAAAACTTTGTAAAAGATACTACTTGAAAATCTATTTGAAATAGATATCATTCGATAATACTTGGAAATGATACCACTTGTGAATAAACCTATGCATGCTAGATTTTTATTTCATTATTTCAAGTTTACAACTATCATTCATCACACAAGCATGGATATTTAAATTAAAACTTGTGTTATGCAAGCAAACATATGAAATGCACATTCAAATGCACCATACAAGTTCATGAGCTTGCTCCCCCTACTTGTGTGCTCAAAGTTTTAATAATTGATCTATGTCCTTTGTCATATCTCTTCTCTATTTCAAGTTCTCTCCCTTTCACTTATATCTTTATTTCTCTTCCTCTTTGTTGTCTTTTCACTATCTTTGTACACTATTCTCTCCCCCTTTGTCATCAATGAACATAAAGATTCAAAAAGGTAAATAATACCATTTGCAGGGTTGAGATAATCAATGTCAATCAATGGGTGAGGATCATATTCTCAAAGTTGATTCAAACTAGATTATTTGCCAAAGATATTTAACTCGGTTTGATCAAGAACAAGCTTCTTCACTCCTCCTAATAAGGGTTATCTTGTACCATGTTGAGTTAAACACTTAGAGCTCATTTTCTAGATTAAACACTAGGTTTACAAGTCCACAAACATGTCACATGCTATCACTAGATCAAGTCAAGCATAGAAGCAATAGTGATACCATATGAGCATCAAATTCATTTGATTTTTATAAATGAGCCTAATAAAATGAAGAGATAACTAGATGCCCTAAACATGTCCTTAGCAAGGATGTATGCCATGCCAATCAACTTTTACCTTGGATTGCTCGAAGGAGAGGCATGTCATATAAGTGGGGGTGCATCAACACATATTTGAGAAATCCAATATGTTCAACTCATTTCTTACCTTGCAAAACATTTTCTCATCCAATGGCTTGATGAATATATCGGTAAGTTGATCTTCGGTGCCTACACTCTCAATGCAAATGTCCCCTTTTTGTTAGTGATGTCTTATGAAATGGTGGCGGATATCAATGTGCTTTGTTCTTGCATGTTGAACCGGATTGTTTGTTAACTTGATTGCACTCATTGTCACATAGCAATGGCACTTTCTTGAACTTGATTCCAAAGTCACTCAAAGTGACCTTCATCCAAAGTATTTGTGCACAATAACTATCGATGGATATGTATTCGGCTTCGGCGGTTGATAATGCAACACTATTTTGCTTCTTTGATGACCATGAAACAAGTGATCTTCCCAACAATTGACATGTGCCCGAGGTGCTCTTCCTTTCAACCTTGCATCCCGCATAATCCGAGTCGAAATAACCAACTAGCTTAAACTTTGCTCCTTTGGAATACCACAAATCAACATTTGGTGTATGCTTCAAGTACCTCAATATTCTCTTTGTAGCCTTCAAATGACTTTCTCTTGGTGAGGCTTGAAATCTTGCACACATGCATACACTAAACATGACATCCGGCCTTTATGCGGTCACATAGAGTAAACTTCCAATCATAGACCGATACAACTTTTGATCTACCATATTTTCACTTGCATCACTATCCAAGTTGCCATTGGTTTCCATTGGTGTGCTAATAACTTTACTATCACTTATGTCAAACTTCTTGATCATGTCCTTGATATATTTGCCTTGACTTACAAATGTACCATTCTTCAATTGCTTGACTTAAAGACCAAGTAAGTAACCCAACTCTCTAATCATGGACATCTCAAACTCATTAGCCATCATCTTTCCAAACTCATTACAAAAATCTTGATTGGTTGATCCAAATATAATGTCATCAACATAGATTTGCAACACAAATAGATCTTTTTCAATCTTCTTGATGAAAATAGTAGTATCAGCCTTGCCCATTGTGAACCCTTTAGAGAGTAGGAAGTCCCTCAATCTCTCATACCATGCTCTAGGTGCTTGCTTCAAGCTATACAATGCCTTCTTCAACTTGTACACATGGTTGGGCTTCTTATCATCTTCAAAATCAGAAGGTTGCTCAACATATACTTCTTCATTGATGTAGCAATTGAGAAATGCACTCTTAACATGCATTTGATAGAGCTTGATGTTGTGGGCACAAGCATAGGCTAACAAGATTCTAATTGCTTTCAATCTAGCAACCAGGGCATATGTTTCTCTAGAGTCAAGACCTTCAACTTGTTTATAGCCTTGTGCTACTAATCTTGCTTTGTTCCTTACTACTATCCCATATTGATCTTGCTTGTTTCTAAAGACTCATTTGGTTCCAATCACATTGTGTCCCTTTGGTATTTCTACTAATTCTCATACTTGATTTCTTGTGAAATTATTCAATTCTTTATGCATAGCATTCACCCAATCAACATCCTTCAAAGCTTTATCTATCTTCTTTGTTTAATGGATGACACAAATTAGAAATGCTCACAAAATGAAGCCAATCTTAATCTTGTTTGAGCACCTCTTGAAATATCACCAATAATAGTGTCCAATGGATGATCTCTTGCAACATTGGTTGGTTGGAGGATTAAAACTTGATTGCTTGTACTTGCTTGATCATTGGGTTAAGATGATGTACTAGCCAATTGATCTTGTTCATTGTCATGAGAGCCACTTGCACTAGCTTGATTTGCATCATCTTGCACATTTGAGTTAGAGAGCACTTGCACATGATCATCTTCATCATCATTCACTTGCCTAGGCCTCAATTCACCAATATCTATATTCTTCATGGCATTTGAAAGTTGAATGCCTTTAACATCTTTTAAGTTCTCATTCTCTACTTGTGAACCTTTGGTTTCATCAAATTCAACATCACGAACTTCCTCAAGAGTACCACTATCCAAATTCCAAACTCTATATGCTTTGCTTGTATTAGAATAACCAAGTAGGAATCATTCATCACATTTCTTGTCAAACTTGCCCAATCTAGTGCCTTTCTTCAAGATATAGCATTTGCAACCAAAAACCCGAAAATATGCAATGTTGGGCTTTCTACCATTCAAGAGCTCATATGGTGTCTTCTCTTTCAATGGGTGACAATAGAGGCGGTTGTTATAATAGCAAGCCATGTTGATAGCTTCGGCCTAAAAGGATTGACTCACATTGTACTCACTAAGCATTGACCTTGTCATATCAATGGGTGTTCTATTATTTCTCTCAACAAGACCATTTGATTGTGGAGTGTACTTAGCCGAGAATTGATGTCTAATTTCAAATTCATCACACAACTCATCAATTCTAGTGTTCTTTAACTCACTACCATTGTCACTTATAACTCTCTTGATGGTTGTTTCAAACTCATTGTGAATGCCCTTGACAAATGATTTGAATGTTGCAAACACATCACTTTTGTCCACTAGAAAGAATACACATGTGTATCTAGTGTAATCATCCACTATTACAAAGTCATATTTGTTACCATCAATGCTAGTGTATTGTGTTGGCCCAAATAAATTCATGTGCAATAACTCAAATATTTTACTAGTGCTCATCATGCTTTTCTTAGGATGGGTGTTTCCAACTTGTTTGTCGGCTTGACAAAAGGTACAAAGCTTATCCTTTTCAAACACAACATCTTTCAAGCCTCTAACCAAGTCATGCTTAACCAATCTATTCAATTGTTTCATTCTAACATGACCAAGCCTTCTATGCCATAACCAACCCAAGCTAGACTTAGTGAACAAGCATGTAGATAATCTAGCTTCACTAGCATTAAAATCAACCAAGTATAGATTTTCATATCTAAAGCCTTTGAGGATCAAGTTAGAGCCATCTACACTTATGATCTTTACATCATCTACTCTAAATATGTATTTGAATCTAAGATCATAGAATTGAGCCACGGATAGCAAATTGAAGTTCAAGCTCTCTACTAGCAACATATTGGATATGCTCATGTCATTTGATATTGCAATCTTACAAAGTCCTTTGA